GGGAAATACCTATTTATAAATTCAACAAGTATTGCATGAGGCTGGTTATTAGCAACTAATATTACCTTCTAAAAGGGACTTGAGTTTTATTCATCAGGTGCTAAATTTGTTGTGTTTTCCAAGAAAATTTACTACATGCTTGCTGGCGCAATTCTAGAAAACATCTACTTACTTTATTTATTTATTTTAGAGTTGGCAATGTTAACCAAACAACAGCAATTGGTTGTTTTTGTTTCCCTACCAGCCAAATAACAGTTGCATTTCTTCACTCTCTTACTGTTTTGTTTTGTTTTAACATTAGTGAACAAATTTCTCCCTTCTTGAACATGAGGGGAAAAAATGTTAAGCTCTAAATTATCACTTTCTTCCCTCTGTCATGTTCTTGTGATCAGACCAAAGCAGGTACTTGGGATTCCACCACATACTGCATTCTTATGTGTCCTTACAATTAAGCTGCATGGAATATAGTGCATGTTACATCTGTGTAGGACTGCACTGCTCTTGCCCATTGAACTAAACACGTGGACTACAAAAAAAAGCAAATCCCAAATCAGAAAATGATTTCACATAAATTCAGATTCATCTGAAGGGGCAACATTCACACTAACTCTTTCTCTAGCCTGTTAAATTTCCTGCACGTGCAAAAACTTGTAGCATGAGTTCAGAATGAAAACCACGTGTTACCCTGGTGGGGCCCTCTATGTGAAAGAAGTGTCTTTACATACACTTATACAACTAGGCGCTTGGTTTCTGGTAACAGCTGGTTTCCTGCTTTGGCAAGAGGTTGGGCTTGATGGCCCCTGGAGTTCCTTTCAGATTTATTTATTTACTTACAAGATTTTTAGCTGCACCATTATCAATGGTCTCTGAGTGGCGTACAACATTAAAACTTTAGAAAAACATTAAAACCATTAAACATTTCCAATATTATAATAATACCCTACATTAAAACAGCTAATTTATCATTAATAAATCCTGCTAGTCATACAGCCAGCTAAAGGATACTATTTAATTAAAAAGTACTGGCTAAGCAGAAAGATCTTTGACTGCGAAAAGCCAAAAGTGTCAGAGCCAGGCAACAGCTTTACACTTCTATGATTCCTTCACATCCGCTTGTCCACTTTCGCTAAATATGTACTGGGACTACTTTTCAGGTATATATTTAAATCATTCTCTATGAACATTCTCTATGGATACACAGCATTCTCTAATACCTGTTTCTCCTACTGAATTGTGAAACATAATTCAGAAGACAAAATGTTTGTACAAAACAAGAAGGCTCAAATGGGTCTTTCTGCAAACACCTATGCAGAAATCAAAAAGAAAAAGCTACCATATTTCAAAAAATATGTTTAGTGCATTTAAGTGAAAGTATGGGGGAAAGGCTCAAACATGCTATCTTTTATTTATAGTGGCGGTGAGGATGCAAACATGTACAATGCTAGCCTGTTGCCAGGAAATGAAATGATTCTGTAGATTCTTTAAGCTGCATTCCTATTCACATATACTTGGGAGGGAGTCCTACTGAACTCAATGGTGCCCATCTCTGACTAGCTATGTAATACTATAAACACTGAGTAAGTAGTACATCTTCCTGAAACCAATATGACTTTTCTCTTGAGTTACCTGTACAGTATATGGAGTGCACTGTTGATTGTGTCAAAGACAAGATCACACATACCTGATCTTCAGAAAAGTATATAAAGCAACATACATATTGTATTTACACATAGTTACAAAGCATTCAACATTTCTATTATAGTAATAATCAAGCTGCTATGCATGTACTGACTAGTACACTATTCATATAGATATCTTAAGTACTGTACGTTTTATCAACATTTTACAGAAAGTATCAAACCTTTCAAATGGGGGGAGAGGGGAGTAGAAAATCCAAATAAACAGTAAGTGTGCAACTTTTGCAGATAGCAAAACTTTGAAGTATACCTGTTAATAAGTTCTCTTAAATCCATCTATCTCTTAGAATTTTTGGCAACTGAGGCATAATCACTTTTTTCCTATGTTACTAAAGTTTCATTCTCTCTAGGCTAGTCACTTCCAGTCTTCATATTTGGAATGTTTGCTTGATGGCTTCACTTAATTTCCCCTCTGCTCGTTTTCATCCATTCATGTTTGTCCTTCTCTCCCCCACCCCACAATTCTATCCACTTCAATCTTTTCAGTCTCAGACAACCCCACCCCTAACCTCCAAACATTTCTTAACATTCTTGAGTTCTTAAAACATCTTCCAGGTTGTTTTAATTAACCCTTTCCATTACCAACTGGAATTTGCTGACTTTTTGAGGAATAAAATTGCAAATTTCCCCCAAGTGCTTTTTCCAATAAACTGATAACTGAAAACACACACATCAAACACACAAGTTTCACTCTTTCTTCTTCTTCTAAAACCAAATGTTCCTATGGTTTAAAGCAGAGCACGTTTTCTTGTAACTAAGTTCCTTTCCAATTAATGGAACCTTTAAAAAGAACTTTAAACTCTAAGTCCAAGTAATCTGAAAAAAACTTTTGAACACCATGCTTATATTTAAGTCATCTGTTTATATACAGTTCAGTTTTTCTAAATCCCAAAGTCACCAAACTATATATACATTTTACATATTTAAGAAAAAACAAAGCACAAAAACGGAATCACTTAAAATGAAATATTGAAATCATTCACACTGTTGGTGGAGGTACTGTAAACCCTCTAAACATATACCCTATGTAATTTTCCCACAAATCAGCCATACATTTTGTATCTATTTTAATTGTTATTTAATCTAGACATGTGGCATAATCTATGAACAGTAGATATACCACATCATTGTCACCAAACTACTCTACTGAGAAATGGACAGATTATATATTGTTTTATTGAAGCAAACCAAGTGTGATTTTATACTATTTTATTTTAATTACTGAAAGACACAGATTAAGATGTTCCCATTCCTCAAGAGTTTATTTACAATCTCTGCTGAAAAGGTGGCAAATCTTTACAGATTTGGGAACTGGGGGGTTGGGGGTGTCAATTCTCACTAGGGACATGTAATTGAGAATATGCTTATCATATTCAATTAACTAGTTCTCATTCTAGGAATCACTTCAAATAGGACAATCAAGTCCCAACAGTAGTAACACATATACATACACCCTGAAAAAAGTACAGTCTTAACAGTGTGTGGAAGTTTTTCTCAATAGGAAAATGGGATCTATCTATCTGGAAAAATAGGCTACACTTTCTTGTTCTAACAACTTGCCAGAAAATCTCAACAATTTCCCTTTACTTCTACAGAAAGAAATGCAAACTCTCTGTAGGGAAACTACGAAAGAAGCTTGTATCAAATATCCTCAGCACAGGGTTAAAAATCTTTAAGGAATCTACAAATAAAATCCCAGTATGCATCAAATGGCATCAAATCAACGTCTTTAAGGCAGACTTTGCAAACTCAAACATGGCCACTGTGACTAGTAAGAAAGTGGTTATTTTTGGACATATGGAGTTGAAACTTCATACATTTTTTAAAATGTGGAAACTTGTGATATTTCTCCAGAAAAGTGTCTCTTCCACGTCTACTAGCAGGTTTAATCCCTCTACTTATAAGCATTTTACTAACTACAATATGCTTGAACTGCAACATTCTTCCAGTGATTAGTCTATACAGTATATGGTTGATTTTAGCACTACTTAAAGTCTTAGGAGAATAAGAACTTTGTAATCACTCAAATCATTCTTATTCTACACATTGTTTTTTTTTTTTTTAAAAGCAGCATTAAGGGAGAAACAAGAATAATCAAATTTCTTTTCTCCTCCACTTACCATCTAACAAACCAATATCCCCCTCAATATTTACTATGCTTCGTTTAATTCTGGCACTGCCTTCCTAGTAACTTTCCCCCACTTGTCATTTAAAACCAAATCTACCTTCCGTACCATGCTAGGAAGACTGTTAACAAGGACTATTGATCACCCATTACACAAAGCCATGCCTGTTGGTACAATAAAACAAATTAATCGAATAGATTTTGGGACCCTTCCAATTCACAGAGGGAGCTGCAGGAAGCCATGGGGGGGATCTTGAACAGCACATTCTGCTAAAAACTTTGAAAGTCCCAAGTTTTTCTTTTTAGAAAACAACAGAAGTTGTGGAAGCAACAACAAAACATGAGATAATGATGTATGATGTTCACAGACACTTAATTTCACACAACTCCCTTTACCTCCATTTTTAACCTTCTACATAGGAAATGCAGAATTCTAAGTATATGCTGAATTCCAAGTAAAGACAACCCCCCTGCATTTTGTGCCCACTTCGCAGATTTCACTAAAAAAGTGTTAACTTCTCTTTAAAGAATATAGCTCTTTCCCACCTCATTTCTACCCAAACCTGCCAAAATAAATGGAGGCAACCAAAATATTGAATAAAAGTCTATACACATTTAAATACAAAAATATTACTTAAAAACCATAAAGAAACAGATATCCACAAAACTGCAACATTTAGCATATTGGCCAAAACAATAAATGGTAAAGGAATTCATTCCTTGTACGAAACTGGGCCAATACATTCTCTACTTGCTTAATTTAGCAAGAAAATTAAAACAAAACATACGATTGACTTTTAAAAAAAATAGTATTAGTCTTGTCAAGCAGATATTTACTTGAACAGCAAATGACACTACTACTTAAACAATGAAGCCTCTACGTCTACTACTTTTCAAATTATCAGCTACTGCACCATTGCAGTTTATTACTTTTTTTCTTTTTAGTATGCCAAAACTAACTTTAAGAATCTGAGTTGAAATAATATGTTCAAGTTGACCACCAGACTTCCTCACCCTTTCGCCAAACAGCTTCCTTCTGAACCAGAGAAATAAAATATAAATACACCACGTAAATCTACCTGCACAGGCATGGCATTTTTAACAATTTCCCTAACAATTTATTTTAACCATTGCCTTTCAATATTGACAAAGTTAAAGAAACTGAATAACTGTATTACCTTTGCTTTTTAGGTACCGAGTGTTCAATCTCGAGCTGTTTTCCATGCAGCTCCACTTTGCCTACAAAGATAAGTGTATTTTTTTAAAAAAAATGTGTATTAAGAAATGTAGGCACCCACATGAACAATCAAATTCAACCTCTCCTCATCGTACAGCATTCTGATTCAATTTCATTGGGGAATTCAGGTGGATTTCACCAGAAGCCACATGGCCTGATCTCCCAACCTCTTTTTATTAAAAATTAAAACAGATTTTAAATTGAGAAGACTAAACAATGGAAGGAACCCAAGGAAATAGAGCTTTCCCCAGGGCCATACTTTTGGCACATCTGATTTCCTTCACATTTATATTATGGAAGATCCATTTCACCAGACTGAAGAATGGCCGGGCCTGTTCTCTGGCTTATTCCACCCAGCTTGCTTGGCTTTTGGAAGTGTTCATGCTGTTTTTTTTTAAAGGAAATTAATTAAAACTGTATCCATCTGAGAAAAGGGATGGTAAAACTGGAACATGAGCAGAATCAAAATCCAGACGTGCTCATTTTGAGTAGAGGGGGAAGCAAAAGAGGGTTGCTCTCAGCAAAAGTCAACATGGGGTACTATCTGGTTTCCCCTCAGCCTCTTGGCAGCATGGCGACCTTCGTGCTAATACCTACATCACATGCCCCAACAAAACCCAGTTTAAAATCAAAATGGTCAAAGTCCAAGAGCTCCTCTCCTTCCTGTACATCTCACTCTTCCAGAAGAACCCTCCTCCCCAGCCCTACCCCCCCGAAAGTACCACATACTAACAACGTTTAAAAAAAAAGAGGGGGACATTTTATCGTAAGGTAAAGCCAAACTCTTGAGAGATCAACAACTGAGGAGAGGAAGAAAGGCAGGGTGGATCACAGAACCTGGATTTAAGGAGATAAAAGATTCACTTTTGTTTTGAGCCACTTCATGACCCTTTAAAGCAGGCCTGGTTTTGAGGGTGAGGGATGACCAAAGACCTCCCCGGAGCACGACACAGCCTGTTTTCACCCATTTTGGTTTGTTTTCTCCCCGCGATGAAACGATAACTTGGCCCCTTTCTTTTTTTAATTTGAAAGGAGAGACCTGATGGGGTAAAATAATGATAATCCTAATAATAGTCACCATTTGAGTTGGGATTAGAGTTGAGGGAGAGGGGAAGAGGATAAAAAGACAAGAAACCAGTTGTCTAGAAATCTCCAATGGAAGTTGATGGGCGCTCCTAGGCCCTGTTAGTCGTTTTCACTATATTCTGCTTTACGAGGGTGAAGGCAAGAGACGCGGTTCTTGATTCCAGGATCGGGGAAGAAAGTGGGAACGGAGGGGGGGGGAAACAAAGCTGCACCCCACAACCTAGGCTAGTGGGAGTGGAGGGCACACGAAACGAAAGTGAACTTTCATTGATGACACCAGAGGGGTAGAGAAAGAAACAGGGCGGAAGGGGCACGAGAGCCAGAAGTCTCGCTAAACGCATCTTTACAAACCACGTTTTTGCTAAATCTTTCCACACCCGCGACAATCAACGTTTAGTGGCCGTCTGTGTCCTTTTTAAAGGTGTGTATTGGAGAAGCGGTGGTGTTTATCTTGGAAAATATTAAGAAAAATCCCACGGTTCCAGAAAAGGAGAGGAAAGGGAGGGGGGAGAGGGAGAGAGATCCATTTGGCTTACCAGAAAAAGTTTCGATGGCTTTCATGGCCCATTGGTCATCTGGGCAATCGACAAAGGCATAGCCAGATTTCACCAGGAACTGGCCAGAGAAAGAGATTTTGTGGTCGTTGAAGACTTTCTCCAGATCCGCCGGAGTAACGTTCTCGTTGAGGTTCCCAATGTACAGCTTGTTCATGGCTGATGCGTTTTGCACAAAATGTTGGGTAGGTCCAAAAAGGGAGGGAGTCTCGGGAGGTGGGAGGGCGAGAAGACGACGACGGGGGGGAAGAAGAAAAAAAATCTCACACGCCGGGTGGGGAAGGAGGGTGATGAAACTTTTAACAGATTCTTAAAACCACGGCCAATGAGAAAGTTTCTTATTCGATCTTGATGGCCAAAACAAGTAAAACAAAACAAAAAAGCTTGTTAATTCGGGTGTGGGAAGGAAAGGAGGGGGGAATAATCTTAAGAGGAAGGAGGGGGAAAATGTGCCCTGTTTTGCAGAATCAATGGGGCTGGTGGGTTTGGTTGCAACTTGCTATGGCGGGCTTGGGAAAATGGCTTTTTTTTTCCTTTCCGAGGCCCCCCCAACTCCTTTTGAGTCGCAACTCATGTGTTACACTCCCCCACACACGCACGCGCGCGCGCGCACACACACTCACCCACACATACGTATACACACAGAGAGAGAGAGAGGACGTCTCTAAGGCTGACTTTGGCACCGCCCCTAAATAAAATCGACCTGGAAAAATGAGTGAAAATGTTTGCAAGAGGAAGCCACGTGGTGGAGCAAAAAAGAAAAAAAGAAGAAAAAGGACCACCCCTACAAGGGGAGGGGCGGGCTCACACACGTACAAAAAACACTCGTGATCAGAAGCGCGGCGGCATGTTTGCTTTATTTGTTTATTTTCTTCCAAACCTCCAATACTCTTGCATTTACTTTTTGCCCCCCCCCTTCTCCCGCCGGCAAAGTAAGCATCCTTTCCGATCAAGTGAATTCGCTAGTGAAACCCATTCGCAGGACACCCAACTCCTGTTTTCCACACACACCTCACCCCTTTCCTGGAGCGAGGAGGGCTGTGCGACCCAGCCCCCCTACCCCACCTCAATCCCTCCGTCGCCTCTTCTGCTCGCCCACCCCTCCCCCAGCCCCATGAGCTCCTTAAAAGAGTTTGAATGAGATTTTCTGGGTGTAAACTTAATCAAAGGGAGTCCTGCTTCCCAGAGAGGGAAGAGGAGGAGGAGGAGGGAGCAAGCGGTGCTCCGAGTGTCCGTGTTATACCCAAAGAGCGCCACTATTCCCGTTCGCATCATTGAGAGTCCGTGTGAGGGGAGAAGAAAGGATACATGGCGAGGATTATTGACCCAGTGCAATTGGGGGAGGGGAGGGGAGGGGAGAGGGTGGCAGAGAGGTGGACGAGAGCCATATTGGATCGTCTTATCCGGAATGAGAAGTTATGAAGACCAGGCTGAGGAAACTACTTTTGCTTCTCCAAAATTTAAGCGATAGCAATGTCTGAAGACGTGGAAAGTGGGTGGACACGCGCCTGATGTTGCGCCCGATTTGAGCGCATCTTTGCCCAGGAACGCCACACGACTCACGTGGAAAAGGGAGGCGCGTTCGCACGTTGGCAGAATTGTAAGAGAGGTTTAACTCCACACACACACACCACTTCAGTGTCCCAAGGAAAGCGGGGGGGGGGCAAACATAAAAAAAATCTGGCCGTTTCTCGCCCATCCTGGGACGTCTTCGAGAACAGAAAAGGATTTTTTTCACAAATATTCCCCCTGTTCCAACGCCTGATCAATCGTTTCAAAAGAAGTGCCACGAAGAGGAGATATTACCCCTTCCTCCTCGAGATCAAAATAGGGGAGGAAAAGGCAGAAATGGGTCCGTGGTGGGTCGCCCGCTAGTCCTCCCAAGGCAGGAATGAGTGACACATGTGAGCGTCTCATCCATATTTATAAGGATTTTTTTTTCTTCCCCTTACATGTTAGGAGTTATCTCCAATAAGCATCACCAAGGCTTTCTTCACCGGGTAACATGCACGAGCACCTAAAGGGGCTGGGGAGGGGGAGGGAGATCCAGAAAAGGAGGAGCAGGGCTTCTCCAACATAAGACACCAGGCATTTGGTTCCATGAATGGGCATCGGTAGGAAGCCCGCAAAATTAAATATATATTTCTCCAGCCAACCAAAAGGACGGCGATGGGAAACTACTTCCGTTTAACCCTTCTGTTCCACGAGGTAACATGTGCGCCCCGTCTTTTCTTCTCCCCCAACAGCCCTCCATGTATAGTCTTCTCGGGAGGAAATGGATCGAGTTCTTAAACAAAAAATCCCTTTGCAAAGTAGTTGTGGAAGGGGGACGGGTTCGTTTTTATTGCTCCTTAGGAAAGCGGGGGGGGGGGGGTAGGGAGACCGTGCAAAGAAGCTGACGGGGCTTAAATCGGTCTGGAACAGCCCGTTCCTACAACTTGTTTACTCAAAAGTAAATCTCCCGATTTTTTTAAATTTTTAGCAAGTGCCTTGACGCCTGCAGCCTAAGTAAGGTGGCAGTGTTGTACAGAGTTTGCTGGAATCCAGCCCCATTGAACTCCATGAGGCTTGTGTCTACGAGTCTACGATTTCTCGGTATCTTCTTTTAAACCTCACTTTGTTGAACCAAGAGGAATCGACAGGATCCTGATGGGAGCAGCAGATTCTGATGAGCGGAGTGGGGGACAAAGAGGAAGATGGTGGATGCGACCCTTCCACCACAACCCCTCCCCCAGCCTCACTTTTTTTTTAATGTCCTTCTAGCTTCCCAAGGAGGAGGGGGCTGAAATGGAAGGGTTAGCCGGCGCAATAGCTGGGTTGCCGCTGAAGAGGCGCCAATTGTCCCTCAGCCCGCGCTGGGTCTGTCCCTGCCATTATCAAGCCGAGATGGAAATCTTTAAATACATGCCAGTCACAAACCCACCAATCCAGAGAGCTGCAGGGTATGGGGGGTTGGGAAGGAGGTGGAAAGGAAATTGCAAGTGGGGGGATGGGCTGGGGGTGGGGGAAGGTTGCATCGCTGGAATGTGCTGGCCCTTTAAATGGCTGTTGTATGAGTGTCAGCGTGGAGATAGCAAAAAAAGAAGGAAAAAAAACCAAAAAAGACCCACCACCCTGCTACATAACCTGTTTCATTTGGAATCCCGGTTTGTACAGGGTCATGAATGGAGGGTGGTGGATCTTACTTAGTGCATTATCATCGAGTTTCTGTGGGTGTGTTTTTTAAAAGCGCAAAGCAAAGGAAAAAAAGGGGGGGACACACAAACTACCCTTTTAGAAATACCGACTGTGTGCGGTGAGTTGGAGGGATCGATTCTCCTGATCGAACAGGAAATTTGAGACACACAAGGCAACAGTCCTGAAATTCCGTTCTGCTTCGGAGGGGGAGGGGGAACGGACGCCCGTTCTTAAAATGGTAACGGCCAGGGGGCTTTGATCTTTGCAAACAGTGCGGGGAGAAATTATTAATAAGCTTTCGTTGTATATGTAGACAGACGGAAAGGTAATCCTACAATATCACACGTTTTCTTTGCATTGAAATCTGCCACGGCCATGGATTTGTTTCTGAACCTTTTAAAAAGTGTTGAATTATCTGCCAGATCACATTTCCAGTGTAACACGAGCAGTGAGCCTATACTGAAAATCTTTAATTGAGAATTTGATACTTGAAAACAAAAATCCAAAATGTTGATATTTATGTTTTTTTAAAAAAAACTATAAACATTTCCTGGTGGAAGTCACTTTGATTAACAGAGTCACATTGTACAAATATTTATTAATGAACATGCTATACTACAGATTAGCAATTTAGCAACTCGCTTAAACCAGCTAGCTCACCTTTTAAAAAAATATTAAGTATAAAAATACTAAAAGCTGTTTTCAGAAATAGATGCAGCTAGCAACCTTCTTGATCTGAAAAGGAAAAGTAGAAAAAAATCAGTTTTACATTTTCACTCAAGGGAATAGACTTTCAAAGATAAACTGCAAAATAAAATACATTTGTGTAACAAATTCTTATTCTCGACCTTACTTTCTTGATAATTTTTTGTACCATTCATTGTTCCCTCCTCATAAGAACAGTTATTTGTAATTAAGAGGAGTGTTATCTATATCATTGTTAGTCTTTTAAACTGTATAATCAAAGGTGTCTTTACACAGGTTGCAAACTGGATTTGAAAAAAAGACCCACCAGATTTTAAATGTATGCAACAACCATATTACCTATGGTTATGCTTGAAAATGTGGTTGTTTGGGTTTAAATAAATGTTCAGACAACAGTATTTTTAATTCAAACAATCTAACATTTTTGGCCCCTGTTGTGTGTAAACTGTTTTTATTTTCCAATGGGGGCTGTGGTGGGTGGTCAGAGAGACCAACTCATAAAAGCTAGGTTTGTTCTTAGAAGGTGCCACAGGACTTCTCTTTCCAATCAAAGAGGAAAGACTTAAGTTTAAAGAAATCAAAAGTATATCCTCCAAATGCACAATACTGAGAGGAAGAGAAGGCAGCTAGATCATTGTTGGGGGTGGGGCTTCTTTGACCTGCATTCATTCATTTCAAAAAGGTGGCACAGGAGAAAATGACAAGAGTTTTAACAGTTGAAGCTTACAGATTCCAGTGAAATTTATATGTATAGTCTTCTTCACTCCTTTCTCCAGTTTATTACCCCCCTTACTGCAACTAATAATTTTGTCTGTGACTGTTCCAAAGCTCCAGCTGTAGGTTATACAAAAACAACAACATACAGTACATGAATCTCACTGTTGTCCTCAGTTTAAATGTCTCCCTATATTCTTTCTTATTTCATGGATGTGGTTACATTTTTAAAGCCCCTCTGGTCAGATGAGAATTGCCCATATAAGTGATAATTTTCCCAAGCAGAAAATCCTGGGTGATTTCTGCATGGAAGTTAGTATTTTGATTAATTTTTAAAAATGTTTTTCCTTCCTCCAATTTATTTAGTGTTTAGTTAATAAATATGATGAGGTCACTAAAGGTTTCTCCACATTCTAAATTCATCAAACTAATAAGTGTTTGTAATACATCTGTACCAAAAATGTGAATATAGATATTAATTTGTTATACATCAAGTGTTTCTTGTACTTGAACTGTCTTTGAATGTATTTTCCAAAACAATGCTGCAATTGCTAACACATTTTATATAACTTTGAAATTGACTATTCCTTTCGGAAAAAGCAACAATTTCTCAAAGTATCTAATTAATTATCATGGATTTTATATAAATTTGAGAATAAGATGCAAATTACATCCAGAGTATCTATGGTATAAACCAATCAAGAAAATTTTGATTGTTTTATTGACACTTTAAATTCATTTATCATATAACCATAAGTTAAAATGGTTTGTATTTTGTATGGAATTGAGGAGTTAGAGCTTGGAATTCACAATTTGCATCACTTGCTTGTAGACATTTGTCATATACATTAATTGATCCCAAACAGGCTTTATTCATTTCATTAGATTTATTTCTAGCCACATAATTTTCTAGATCAGAACTTTAAAATATTGCTTTTTTGGATTAAATCTCCCAGAATCTCCCAGTGACCATGGTTATTCTGGCTTGGGGATTCTAGGAGACATAGTCCAAAAGTAATTTATTTCT